AAAAAGTAAGATGTCATGTAAACTTGAGGAATGTTTTAACAGATTTAGAATTTCTAGAACTCTGGATAATCAATTCATTTCCATTTTCTTTTTAAATTTCCTTTCCTCAACTCGAGCAATTTCAGAAGACGGATTTTATAAATTTCTTTAAATTGAAGAACACTACAAAGTCACCCAAAAACAGCATCTAGTATCAATAACACGACCAAAAATGTCTGGCCAAACTTATTTAATTACTGACTCAAAAGTTATTTGAATACTGACTGGCTTTATAGTAGGCCTAATTATAATATAAAACTAAATTCCTTAAGATTCTGAGCATATTTCAAGTAAATATGAGAGATCACATACCTTCCTTTGATATTAATGCTTGAAACAATGTAGCTCTTTGGGGTTGTATCCTGCCTCTGGAGGATTATTCGGATCTCTTTTGCTGTTTGTTCTTCATATCTATCAAAATCTATTGATGAATCCAAGGAACCCCTGAGAAATAAAACAAAATTAATTAAAATTTGATATACAGATCATATGTCATTAGTTAATCGTTGCAAAGTCTGTTTGAAAAATATGGTGAAAATGGCCCCTGAATAAACTGAATAAAAAAAAAGTAATGGATCTGAATAAAACTATCATATTAAGTAGTGATAACACCAGGTGATCTTGTTAGTGGTGGCCTATTCTATCGGGCCAAGACAAGTGACGAGAGGACCTTATTAAGTAGGTAAACAATACAGCAGGTATGTTGGGGTCTTCGTTAGCGGTTTGTAGATAGCAATATATAGACTACTAGTCACCATTTCATGCAACATCATAGATGCCTGCATCTAGTGATGTGACTGGTACTTATTTGGCAATAAAACGTATTGTGCATTGCCTTCAGCACCATATTCACAGATTGTAAAATGAGTTATATTTCATTAGTTATGACCATTTTCACCATACTTTATGGATAGCACTTTAATGGTGTTTAAAGCTGAAATGAACTTTTGGTAGCCTATTACAACTCGTTCTTAGCCCTGAAAATAAATAGTCTCATAAAATAACATAATCTTTATAACATTAAAACAGAGAGCTTTTTTCCAATGAATTCAGACAGGCTTATCAATTTTACGAGGTAAATTATAATAAATGAATTATGGCAACTCCAAGTGGACATAATAAAGGCAACATCACGCTTTATTTAATCATCACTAAAGAATGGGAGTCGAATGCTGATAATACATAGATTTCAAAGAAAATGTTTCACTCAGAGTATAATTAGTTTTATTGCCGTATGACATGACAAACTAACTACACCTTAATTCTTGCTCATAAACTTTTATACAAAAACAACACTGGCATTCTAATAATGTAGAACAAGAAAAGCCAACAACTTACAATTGAAGCTGGCATTGCTTTCCAGAGCATTGAAGATTTCGGGGTTTTTTCTCAGTTCCATCAGAAATGAAGAAACATGTCGCTCCAGATGGAACTTCAGAATCAAAGTTGACGAGGATGGAATTCACCTTCAAAATGAAGCAATGGCAAAAATAAACTTGTTACTATTGACGTAGCCTTCCCTTTTCAACCCTCAGTGTATGTATGAAAATATGAGTGATGACTTAGAACAATTTTCAGGAAGCCAGACATTCTCTTTCTAAGAATATATGTAATCGCTGAATCTGTTGTGAAGGCACAGAAAAGATATTCAAGTTTTAACTTGTAAGGTAAAGAAAAGGCTTATGGTTTCATTAGTATACTAAAAGTGCTAAAAGTACATGCTTAAGCCTCTATCAAAAGAAAATCTAATGCACAGATCCAACACACCCACAATAGTAAATTAAGTTCTCTAGTTCCTGATTATTAGCACCTGATCTATTCAACTAATCATTCCGTATTTTTCCTAAACTTAGCTGTAGACTGTTCTTTTTTTCAGGAGGATGGGTGAGGAAAATATTTTTTACAAGTACCCAGTTATAAAGACCGTCCTTCTAAGTCATTGCCACCATTTCTTTAAGCTAGTTTCTCATCTCTTCTGTCAACTCTGATCTTTTGACAAGAGAGGTGACTTATGAGAATGATATTCAACTTAATCACTTCCTCATTACGTGCAAAAATATTTCTTTTAAAAGCTCACCTCATATGAAAGGCGTAAATCAAGCATTATAGTAATAGCTCCTTCCTCTGAAGAAGCCCATTTTGTGCTGCCATCATCATCAGTTAACACATCAATACTGCGGAACTTGAAGGAAGTGTTGAAGCGTGGGTATAAGGAGACACCATTGGTGCAAAACAAAGTATCAGTTTCGTCCAGATCTGGATACTCATTTAAACACCGGCACGACTCCACTTGTGGAAACATATCCCACAAGCCAGAATCGAAGTATTCGATTTCTCTGCAACAAAACAACAACAATAACCATTATTTTCAATTCAATCAAGTGCCAGTTCAGAGTTCTAATGTAATGATGACTAAATCATGAATGAGCGAGACACATCATCATTACTGGGGAACAAACTGCATTTCATTAACACAGACAAGTTCATTTCTAAAAATGTTCTTTCAAGAGTATTTCAGAGTATAGACTTAAAGGGCAATAGACGCTTCAACAAGATGTAGAACTGAATCTCACGGAATCTATGTTCTTTCTATACCAGAAAGATAAAATTTCTATTCCTCTCCACCACCCCCACCAAACTGCCGAAAAAGAAAAAAAATTACTCCCTTAAAAAAGAAAGCCAAGCTATCGAGCAAAACCATACAAAGAAACAAACAAACAAATGCAGCCAAGGAGGGATGATCAAAAGAAAAACTCAGGACACAAGGGCAATCAGAAAAACAAAAATTAGCAAAAAATAAACAAAAACGATAAAATAGCTATTAAAAACACAGAATACTTTCTCGTGTAGAAGCATTAAAAAGTTAATAAATAGTGTATGAGTTAATTAGCTAAAACAATATCATCTATACCAAGCACTGTGACCTTCACAATACCTTGAAGTCAGTGCATCCACGTAGTAGCGAACATCATACAAGTAGTATTCATCTCCCAAAGAAGGAACTGAAAAGTACAAAACACAGTTGAAAACATGAGTTCTTACATCCAGAAGAAAGGAACAGTATAGAAACACCAGAAACGTAAACGTCATTAATTGTGCATTTCCTTGGGCGCAAAATAATATTTTATTATGTGGTAAGGAACGAAGATCATAACATTCTATACACATTGATCTTCTCAATATCAGATTTTCTTAAAAACCATTAAACTGTCCTACAACAAAAATACACATTCTCCCATACACACACACTCCCACACAAACACACATGCACACACATCATGCACATGCACACACACACATACAAACACACACACACACACACACACA